ACCCAGAGAAATTCCCTCTAAGACAAAAAGTAAAGGTAGTGATTCCCCCTAAAGAGAAAAACCAAGTCCCAGCCAAAGTACATGCAGAGCAGACTCCAAAGGAATGATTCAAAGGGGGTTGCTTGAATTGGTTACCCACTGATGAACAAAACGTCTAGGTCATATAAAAGTAATCGTACAATTTCACAATCAACGATGAATTGTCTGGACTAGAAAACGGTCCTTTTGATGTTTTGAAAATGGATGATAAAATGCGACGGGATCAGAAGGAATAACGGAAGGAATATGTAGTGAGATTTAATCCAAAAAGGAAACTGTCAAGACATTATGTTGTGAAGTTGATTTGCTGGGCTTCGGTTCAAAATGAGCACGAAATGCTTGACTGTTTTTTTTTGTGATGCATGTTCTGAAGATGTGTGAGTATGGAAGTTCTACACAGATCCCTTTCAGAGCCAATTAGGGATGTTGGGATGAGTTGTTGAGGCCGATTGGAGAACATGTGTCTGTAGTAGAACATTTTGTCAGATTTTACCTTGACCTGTATTGTCCTTGAGGGACAGTCGGTGGAGCGGGAGGATGAGCGCTTAAACGATAACTCACGTTTCCATTGGTTTGCTGTTGCGGAATTGCTGACATGTTGGGCGACATCGGTTTGTTGGGTAGCAAAAAGTTAGATGGGCGGCTAGGATAATTTGGAACGAGGCGGGGGCCGTTCTGGGGCAGAGCGCCAGGTCGAACAGCTCCAGAGTCGGTCGCGTGATACGCGATAGTTTGGCTCGGTAACGAGCTAGCGGTGGACTGCTGGCCATTACCCATCAGATTCGGGCTCCATGCGACTACGGCTTGAGCTCGTTGAGCCAACGCTCGTGCTTTGAGAGCATCGCTGGTAGGTGGTATGCCCGCGCTGGAGTTCGTGCTAGAGCGGGTTTGAGCCACCGGACGCATGGATGGTGTGGAGTCTTTCGGCAATGAATTGCGATTTGGCTGAAATGGTATGGTGGGGGACTTAGCGGCGCCTTGGCCAGCAGGTCCCGGAATAGAGCGGCGGGGTCTCTTGGGTAGAGACGCTGTCGATGTACAGGGGCTCGAGGCAAGTGTTGGGTCTGGGGTAGGCGCGTCTCTCTTAGCAGCGGTTTGAATCGATAGATTACGCCTGGCCATGTCTCGCAATCCCGAGCCTTCAGGTTTGGTTTCGTCTTGAAATACAGGTTGAGGGGTTGGACGAGGGACAAACCAACCCTGGTATTTACCTTGTAGTCTTGCCAGATCAAAGTTTTCAATCCAGTTTGCGGTCCAAGCCGTGAGTGGAGCATTACTTTTGACTTCGTTGGGATACTTTTTTCGAACTATAAACTCAAGCGCAACGTTGTTAGCAATGTGGATCGCCTAGATAGTAATTTATCACCAGCTTACCATCAATTTTGTACAGTTCAACCATCTCCAATACCTTACCCCTTGTAAGTTCTTTAGCATGAACCGCAATCAAGTAAGGAATCCAAACCATCTCGACAGGAGCTATCATTGTCTTTTTGCCCTTTTGAATTGGGTAAAATAGGGCGTCAGGGGTTCCTAATACGATGGTGTATGGAGTCATTGGAGGCGCAAGCGTCGAGAGATCCATAAAGTAGTCCAGCACTTGTTCAATTTCGCGCTTCAGCTTGTCGGGGACCTCAGTTTGGGACAGGATATCCAGCTCTTTCTGAACCTTCACGGTTGTCAAAAAACGAGGGGGATCGGGCGAATTATATATTCTATCCCGTATCATAATAACAATCTGTGCCATAGTTTTGAAATCCTGGATGATGGAGGAATACACAATCAGTTTCAGACAGGAGAGGAAATTCAGATATTGCTGCGCACAGAACCACGTGTAAGATTTGCTATTCTCCCGCACCAACCGTTAGGATGATCCTCGTTCCTAACCATGTATCTCTCAGTCAATTCGTCAACGTAGACTCCCCATCTGAGAAGCAGATAATGGAGCAAGTCAGCCACTCCACAGACCTGACGGGCGTAGCGATATCAAAGTACTTACGGTCCGGAAGAAGCGTGCATCTTCTCACCCGCCGTCAGAGGTTTTCCCTCCTGGACTAATCTGAAGATATCGCGCTCTTGAAGTTCAGTGAGTTGATTATACATGGCAGCAGTAAGCCCACGACTAAGAAAGACATCTTGCTGCTCTTCTGTCAGAAGCTTCCTTGAGGGCTGTGGTGGATTGGATTGTTTGAAAAAAAGCGGCTGTTTCGGCTTGCTGAATAATATACCAGCCAAGGGGTAGTCAGAGTTCACGTGCAGGGGGGGTGCATAAGTTCAGCTTGATCAGGTATTGCGTACATGTACCAAGGAATTACCCCATCGAGGAAGCTATGTGCAATACAAGGCATCGGTCAGCTACACACGCTCACGGGACCAGCGATAAAGGTCCACTGACAGTTTGATACTGGTCAAGCGTTGCTTGCCATCCATACAAACCCATCTCGCTTTGCGTTTTTTTCCGTGGCGATCAACACAAGCCGGCCGTTCACTGAAGAGTAGCGTTGGGACCCATTTGCTGTGAGTCACGAAGAAGCATGTTAGCTATACATGTCGGATAGATAAACAACTTTCTTCGAAGGAATTTGATCACTTTTTTAATATCGAATCGATAAGGGCAGATTGAGAACTGTTGGGAGAATTTCAAAATCAGTTGTAATCCTTCTATGTCTACATCAACGGATCAAGCTTACGGTTTGGTCCATACGACATCACGCTGATAGGGGGGTGCGACGTCTATGGTGTTACTGAGGAAAAAAAGCAGCAGAAGTCAGGCCAGTACTAAATCAACGTGTTGAACGTTCGAAATACACACTTATTCATTCTGCTGTAAAGTTCCTGGTTGATCGAAGAAGGTATGAGGTGTGTGGGTGAGCCCGTTTTACGGACAAGAAAAACAGTGATTCAAGTCAAGTGGGAGTGTTCTTACGCGAATAGACCATACACGACAGTTGGCACTTTGGAGGGCCCCGGGAATAATTTTATCATCGCAGTCTGACTCACTTGCTCCACCGTCCAACTGATCTGTGTCATTGTCGGAGTCGGTGACGTATCCAATCGGCATGATACGACCTGGAATGGTCAACAGGAGAACAAGGGTTAGACCGAGTCTAGTACAAGAAAAGCGGCTCGATGGAAGAGAGTCGTCGGGCAGAAAATTGAGAAGGGGCCGGTCTGGCACCCTCATCCCGCTTTCTCGCCAGCCATCGAGATGGGCACGAAGCTCAGGATGAGAGGTCTGGTACGAAGTGCAAGGAACGAGCTACAAGGGTCACTCGCAACATGGTCGTTACAATGTGTAACGAGACGATGATGGTAAAGGAGGAAGGAGTCGTGTTGGACGACTTGCGGCAGATGGCCGACGAAGAGGTCTCTCGAAGCATGCCCAAGCGGGATTGGAGACGGGACATGGGGATGGACTTACGAAGGATGTAAGTGTGTTAAGTAGTAGGCAGCTTTACGGGTTGGGGTGCGTAGAGCGGACAGGGGAGCAGTGCGACTGGGCGACCGACAGGAGAGTCAAATCAGTTTCAGTTCAGACAATGTCACAATAGCCTGGGAGTAGCTGGAGTCCAGGAGGAGAGAAGAGCACACCTATTACACCAAGGTACAACTATGCAGTATGTATGGCAGCCAAGTGGTGATGTAGTGTGGCAAGTATCAAGTCAAAACTTGAAGTGAGATGAGGGATGGAATGAGGAGGAAGATCTGATGGGTGTTTGGTGTTTGGATGATAATGAGCTGAGCAAACTCAATTGAGAACAAAGAGCAGTGTATGTAGGATGCTGTTTGGGGATGAGGGGGGAGGGAGGATGGGATGGGATGGAGGGAAGTGGGAGTCAAAGAGAGATGGAAAGAAGGGTGCAAGAGTTCTGATTGGTAGCTGGTTTGGCCTGGGAGGTTGAAATGGATGGGGGTGGAAAGGAGGATGCATGTCTTGCAGATGGGAGACATGTTGTATGTAGGAGTGTCTACAATTTACTTGCAAATTCCAAAATCAGGGCACAATAGGGTACAAGCAGCTAAATGCATATAGAGTTCATTTCAGCACTGCCAAGCCCAGCAACAACAATTTGTTTTTGGCAATAAGTCCATACACCATAGCCCTAAGAACAGGCCAAGCTAGGACCCTTTCAGATAAGACTCTGTTTCATGTGTCTTATCAAATGGGAATCTAGGCTGGATCAGACTAGGAATAGCTCAATGTGATAGGGGCAGTGAGGATTTGAGCCATGAGTGATGGAAAAATTCATCTTCCAGATGATTCATGGGCCTCCTGATTTGGGAAATCTGCTGTAGCTGATGTTGGGAGTTGTGTATGCAAATGGATGTGTATTTATGTACCAGTGGATCTGCTCAGCATAACCAAAGAGCAAACAGACTCATGGAGCAGTCTGTTTGCTCTGCTGGCTGTGTGTTTGCAAGTGGGAGATTAAAATCCCACCAAGTCACCCATCGACCGCAGTCAGCTGTACCGCTGCAAACATACCAGCAAACTGCCAGCAGCTACACTCATGGGTATGCTGATGATGTCATGTTTGGTCGAAGAAGTTCATCCAAGTTTGCTTCTGATAGAGCTTGATGGTTTTCGCAGCGGTGTTTCATCTCCAGTCCAACCGGTTCTCATCCTCCCGTTAGATCGCCAATCGGGAGGGGCCACCTGGCCGACCGGCTTCTTTGCGCCATGAACACAAACGAGGGCTTATCAAATATGTACAGCCCGGTTGGAGTCAAAGTGAGCAGCAAAGTGGATCTTCTTTCGCTTGCGAAGGCAAGCAAGAGGGCGATAACGGGTTTCCGCTCCTTCCCAGACCAAGTCCACACGTCTTGACGTCATCATAGTCGAAACAATGTAACGTGCCCAACTCTGATCTCTCAGATCAGGGGCACCAGGATGCAACCAAGTAGTAAGATTAATGAAACAAAACAAGCCCGTGTGCTGGCTTCTCCCCCCCGGTCGTCATGGACGCAAGCCTTTTGTGTTACCAGAATGCAATGGTTGACACTGAGAGGTGAGTGGATTGTTTGGAATCCAGGAGAAGCTGAGTCAGAGTAAGGTATGTGAAAGATTAATTAGGAAAAAGTCTCATGTTTTTCCCCACCGGAGGAAGATAAGAATACAAGCCCGGTTTCTACTTCCCTTTGCTGGTTTTCAGGACATCATTTGGAGTTCATGATGAGAGCCACCTACATACATACAAACCATGACTTGATTTGGTGAAATGGACACAGAATTCAATTATTCCACTCAGCAATATATGAATATCCAAGGCAATACTGATAACTGGTGGGATGACTCATTTCAACAGTTTTTGTGACAAAAAGAAAGAATTGACAAATGATTGTAATCCTACCAATCTATCCATACAGCCCACCAAACACTCCAAAAGACCATGATAGAAGTGACTTATCTAATACCACAACTTTGCTTTTCTACTATCTGTAGCACATCACAGGTTTTCAGTATCCAAACCAAGATTAAGTGGAGTTATAGAAATCAGTCAATTCATCAATCTGTTACATGCATGATGAACTGTTTACCCAGTTTCACTGATCAACTGACACTCAAACACTTCAACAAACTGTGAATACATTTTTATACTTGTACCCAGCACATCCATTTGACGTACCACTCATTGTGACGAAAAAAAAAACATGCACATGAAGCACCTGTTTTGGATAATGTGCCATTGGTTTTACTGGCCCAAAGGCTACAGCCTCTGATGATGAGCAGTCAACAGGCGAGTGAAGAAGATTTTGAAGGTAGTGATTTCAAAGTGTACACCCGTAGATCAGACAACGACAAGATTACATTGCAGTATTAGGAATTAAAAATAGCTAGTAGACAATATATTATGATTGATGATATAAATTAAAAACGAGCATCCTAAAAGCAAAGGTAGCTGACTAGAGTATCGAAGGATGGAGACAAAAAACTGGCTTGACTCATTCAGGACGCTTATGGGGATTGATTTGAGAGATCAAACCGACGGAGCCCGGCCTCCCCGACACCACCGGAAGCAGGTGTACTTTGATTCTGAGCATGAATCCCCCCGAGGAAGTTGGTATGAAACGAGATTCCTTCGTTAACGGTCACGTCCTCGGGGAAGAAAGGGGGCTCTTCCTTGAGACAGGAGATCGTTTTGTCTCCCGAGTCGTCGCCATCGGTATCCAAGTCGGGCTGGTCCCAATGAAACATGGAAGGATCTCGCCGCGGTCGAGACAATTCGGGAGGGACACAAAGAGGCTCGACTGCTCCCTGGGTGATCGACAACGTAGATTCATTGGATGAAGCGGAGTTGTCCGCCTCGATTCGCTGGCGCTTCTCTTGCGGCCCATCTTCGCCGTCACTCTCTTCATTGATGTTCGGTGGTACGCAAAGGTTATCATCCAGCTGGAGGATATCTTGGTGCAACGCAGGTGGGCGTGGAATCCATATCGTGTCTTCGTGATCAAAATCTACCAAAATCCCTTCTTGAACGACAGGTTGCTGAGACCCTCCGACGCCATCATCGCCGAGAGACTGTCCCTGTGCAAGCCGTGTCGGTGTAGATATACCCCCGACTTCGTTGCTGGGTTCAATTTTTCCATTCTTCCCGATCGCAGTGGGGTTTAGGCGGGAGCTAGTAGGGGTAGCGCGTGAGCGCGGGGTTCGCTGAGCTTTGGTAGATTTTCTCATAGGGCCTTTAGAATCCATGTCCTGCGCTACTCTGGCCCGATTATTTAGTGAAACATAAGGCGAGTTAGGTGAAGGTGGCAAAGGGACGCTCATCGGAACAATCAAATCATCAGGCATCCGTGTGCAAATCTTGGGGCCAGGAGTGCCAAAGGAAGATAGGAAATACGGGTAAGGCTTCGCGGTGACGTTTGCTGATTGAGGCGCCCTTTGAGTAGGTTTGCTGAGAAGGGATTGGTGTAATACAGTGTGCTGTGCGACTGCAACGGGGTCAGAAGGGCCAGCTTTGAAAGACGTTGTCTCTGCAGGTAACGAAGAGCCAAGATGTACAATTTTGGTGGGTGCTAGGGTTACTGATGGCATTGCAATTTCTTTGACTGATAGAGGTTCTGGGGGTGGTCGAGATTCTGAAGGTAATGTAGTCACCGGTGGCGGGAGAGGTTCTGAGGATGGTGGAGCTTCGGAGGGCAGTGGGGTTGCTGAAGGCGGCAGAGGCCCCACGGGTAATATAGGCTCGGGCTGTGATACAGATTGTGGGTCGGCAATTGAAGAAGACATTGAAGATGATGCAGGTACTAGTGGGGGTGTAGGAGAAGTGGGTAAAGGGGTCGAGGCAGGTAGACGAAGCACTTCTGGTAGTTCATCCACTGTCATGGACACTTTTGAGAGTTGTGTAGAAATCTTGTCTGAGACGGAGGGCGTAGGAAGACCTGATTTCGGATGGATATCAAGTTTTGATGATGATGTCTTTGAAGAAGTGGTTGCATTTGAGGAACCTTTTGAGGAAGACTTACTGGGCTTGAAAGCCTTGATTGTTTGCTTGATGATCGGTGCCGGCTCTTCAGGTTGATTCTTCCGCGCGTGAGAACGGACAGATACGTTGAGCGTGTTGCTCACTAAAGGTACGGACACGGGTTTATCACTGGCAGGTTCTTGTGCCGCGCGCCTTGGTAAAGGCCTGGTCTGCAATGGAGGTAGCGGTGGCTGCGGTTGATGTGAAGGTTTGGAATCAGCTTGAGCAGTGCTAGAGGTTGACCGGCTGGGTTTGAAGCCAGCCTTTGCAGCTTCATTTGTGGCGTTAGACGCGACTGTCTTAGACGACGATTGATGGTGGGAGACTGAAGTGGATGTTTGAGGGGGCTTGGTGGCGATATCTTTGGCTGGCTGAGTGCCGATGGATTGGATGGGTTGAAGCGGCACTCGAGTCGCCGTCCGCGGTTTTCCGATCGGATTACTGGCAGGTAGGTCAACTTGAGGGGGCAAGGGGACACGCTGGGCTCTCATCGTCGAATTGGATCGCTTCGTCGCTAGCCCCGACGGTTGGGCTTGGTGAATCGAACCTTCTGGCGGGGACTTGGTGCGAGTAGACATAATCTTTGCGCGTCCTGGCCCACGAGCAACAGATGGCTCGCGATGCTCTGGCTCATCGGGTGGTAGCGGAACCATCATGGCTTTTTGAAGAGTGGCCATATCACCGGATTTTGTGAATTTTGAGTTAGAATTTTGTGACTTGATGGATTTGGAAGTGTGTGCATTGACGGTCTTGGCGGCAGAATGTAAGGAGGTCTCCGTAACATTCTTTGAACCGGTACGGTGATGTCCACTCAGCGGAGGCCTGTCGCGATTGTGATTCATTTCTCGATTAGCTAGACTGCTACTTGAAGCTTGGGATGCATGAGATGCATGTGATGAGTTGAGAGTTGAACCATTTCCAATGCCCAAATACCGCTTGATAGTTGGTGTCAACGGCTGGGCCAAGCTGAATCAATTTCATAATCAGTAAACTAGACTGGGGAACAGAAACCAGGGAGAATGCAGTCGATGGCAGAAAATATGATTTACCTCGCGGCACGACTTGGCCATTGCTGCTCATATAGCTCCCATATTCGCTTGAAAATTGCCCTGACTTTGGGATCTCGATCTCTGCCACCGATCTTGATCGCGTTTTCTATTTCGTTTAAGCGCTTGTTCAGTCCATCTTTAATTGTAGATCTTGGTTTTCGCGATTCCTCATTATCATTCACGGCCTCGGATAGACAACAGAGAAGCGCGTCGGCACAACCGATCCTTATTGTGACTGATTTCTCTGAGATGCCATCAAGCAGATAAGGTATGAATCCGAGTGACTTGGTCCCCTTGATTAACGATGTGAGGGTGATGGTAGCGCGAGTCACGTAGATCTTGGAAGCTCTTCCAAGTAGCTTGATGATTGTCGGTACATAGAACGGAACCGCGCTATCCCAATAGCTCCCTAGTCGAGAAGTCGCGCTAACTAGGTCGAGGGCCGACCCACTTAGCCGGGTTCGCTCGGTTGACATGGCGCTCACCAGACCTCGGACGATATCGGTTTCCTTCCACCGTCTAAGAAACTCGTCAGGATGGTCACACGCACCACCCCGAATGGCGGCTGTGAAACGCTTAAGGCTAGCATCGATATTTTGCCATGTGTCTTCTGTTTCCTCGATTGAAAGGGCTTCCTTGAGTAAATCGAACTCATGGAGACATTGACTCGCTGAGGTAATCTGTTAATGAGTTTTTTTTCCATCTGCATCAGTTCACCTATTTGTTGAAGACATATATGGCTTACAGGAGGAATCGACTTACTCGAATCGGTTCCTCGAGCATTTTCTTGACCATTTTGGTGTTATTTCAAGTGGGTTCACCCAGCGGGGTGCCAGTTTAGGAGTGTTTGCTGATAATTGTTGGGGAAAAGAACTCTTTAATTAGAGAAACAATTGTTGCTGGTGAGGATCGAGTTGACCGTTGTTGGTGGAGTGTTTGATAGGCAGGCTCGGTGGTGGTAGAGTTGTATGCGATCCGAGGCTCCGACGGGGTGAAAGCTGGTGAGATTCATGTCAGACATCTGTCCCCCGTGTCCCCTTTCGGAGGGCAGGGCTATGCACACAAGTGGAGGTGGAATAATGAATGTATGCGGTCAATTTGCATAGGATTAGCAAGACTTCCTCCTTCAGACGCAGTGGAACCTTTGTGCTTCCCATGCCTGGAGTTTTAGAGACTTAGACACAATGTTGTCCTCACATGATGAGAGAAGCATTCAAGATGCCTCTGAGAATGAGTATGTATTCTGACAAAACAGCTAAAGATTTTTGGGGCTGGGTAAAAAAAATGGGTAGGGAGGATCATGACATTCTTTATCCTATGTAATAATAACATATACACGGTATGGGAAAATACATTCCTAGTTCCAATGTCCATGATCCACTCCATTGAAAGCATCTGAAAAATTGGGGCAGGAGTAAAATGACTAATAATATAACTCTGAAAGACTGTTGGGAATACAAAAAGAAAACAAAGAAAATCCATTAGGAAAAATTGCTTGGCCCACCCACAAAAGTGCCTATAAGGTGGCAAACCCCTAATAATAGAGTTCAAACATTTTTTTTCTTATAACCCTCATCTTTTTTTTATCTGCTTCTTTCTCTCCACCTTATTAGTTCCTGTCTTTCTTATCACTTCTTCCTCTTTGTTTTTACTTTTCTTTTTTACTTCATTTTTCTTCTTATTTTCTCCAGATTACAGTATAATTTTTTATTCACTTTCTACCTATGAGTTAGTCTGACCCATTTGTGTGAGCATTTTCCAAACAGTAACATCAATTCATAATGTGCAATGCTAGAAAGGCCCTCTTGGTCAATCTAGCTCTGTCTAACTGCCCACAATATGTCCTTAAACTCTTGGACTTTCTACTATTTCTTACTCTTTGTGTAGTTATATGGCCCATCATTTTGTATCACAAGAAACCTTAGAATTTCTGACTAGTACAACAGGGGAAACAAGCATCATTTTTTTCTCTTCAATTTCCAATGCCTAAACAAAGTGTCATTGTCCAGAAAAAAAAACATCTGCTACAAATCTAGCCTATTGCACAAGTATCATTTCTTTATTATTTGCTAAACTAGCTGGTTTAGTAGGGCCTTGCTGGGGTCCTTTCAACACCAACCTTAGTTTGGAAAGGAGCCAATTAACTGTCAACAAGAGAAGCATTCAGTAAAGTCATCACAGCCTTTTTGGGCTTAGGCTTCAGTGTGCCGCTCAAAGATGATAGACTTCATAGGGGCCTCTCTTACCTGTCTGCAATCAAACTACGCGAGCATGTCGCAACGACATCTCAGATTCTTGTGGCTAATGGCTCCAGCCATCCTTATACTAAACCTTTTGATTGAGATTCGGTCGCAGGTCTTGCCTGGCTTTCAGTCGGGTTTTGCGATATCGTCAAACAAGCGCGAGTTTGTTTGAGAACCTCAAGGAAATGTTTTGACACAATGTAATATTCACGAGAATTTAAATTATTATGCAAATATATGTTAAGTGAATTAGATTCTTGCATCCAACAAGAATCGATAATAAGTAAGAGAATACATGACGAAAAGTGCAAATTGCTAATAATAGAATAAACAAAAAAAAACGATTCAAGTTCACTAGGGGACTCCTTTAGAGAGGCTATTAGGTCGGACAGATAAGGTGGAATACGCGTGTGCTAACCCCTATATAACCAGGTGGGCTTATTCCTTGGCCATTCCTACACTATTTACATTCTACGTAGAGGTTGGGTTGCATGAGATAGTTTAGGTTTGGGAATTTTGAATGGTACATTTTGAAGCCTGCGAGAAGCTTGGTTATAACTGGCAGAAGACGGGGAAGATTTGGCCTTTGATTGGTCATCTTCTGTCGGTGTAGTCGGAAACACATCCTGCGCGTTATGAATCCTGGGCACCTGGGCAGGAGAAGGCTTGAAGACAGGGAAGTCATAATCAACTTCCGGAGCGTAAGTACTGGGGTAACTTGTCTCAGAGCCGTATGAATCTAATATATCTGTGGTCTCATAAGTATAGAAATCACGCGTCTTTCTGGGAGAACCTTTGTGGGTAGATCGAGAAGCTTTGTCTTTGGTGAGAGAGAGTGCGGGTGGATATCCGTTGGGATGATTGCCAAAGGATTCTCTTGAGCGTCGGAAGCTGGGATGACTAGGTAGAAGCGGTTTATCGGGGGCAGTCAGGATGGGGCGAGAAATAGCCTTGGCTGTGATCAACGGACGGAGCTTGACTTCTTCGTCCTTCGTCCGTAGCTTTTTTCGCAGGTGAAATCGATAGACTGCGTACCCAATCAGACCAATGACAATCACGCCTATTATGGAAACTACGATGGCCACTGTTGTGGAGGAGCTACTTTGGGGTTCAGACGATTCAGGCGCCTGGGTGGAAGAAGGAGAAGGAACTGAAGCGGTCGACTGGGGAATGCGAGAGGTTCCGAGGTTGGCGAATGAAGTCGGAACAGCACTGGGGGGAGCAACCTGGCTGGCTGGACGTGAAGCAACGCTGGGGACCGGGGTAGGGATTGCCGAAGGTGGCAGTGTGGTGAAGGGAGCGCCTCTTAAATCGCTCGGATTTTCTCCAGGAAAGAGGACGATAGGAGCTTGGTCGTTGGGAGAGGCTGGAGTGGCAGATGCGGCTGGACGACTGGCAACTGGGGTGGGTGAAGCGATTGCTCTTCTTGCAATCTTATTGTTTGGAGCGCAATACGGCATTTCGGTTTTTGGAGAGGGGGCAGGGATGGCGGTAGGTAATTTGGCACGGCGACTAGTAGGATGCAGATTTTTTATTAGTATTTAGGGGATGTTGGGTAGAGCTCAAGGGACTGTCAGCCTGCGGTACAATACCCCAACAGCCCGGGGAACAAGGGTATGCGCGTTTTATAATGTGCAATAAATGAGCGAAATGTTCAGTTTTCATAAGCTTAGGTCGTGGTGCCTCCTGAGTAGATACATATTATGTGCTGAAAGAAGGCGGACTGAATCTGATGACAAAGGCCGATGACCAACTTGAAAAGTAGCTCTAACGAAAGTAGTGAAAGATTATAGGAAGGTTTTTGTGTGTGTAAACGGCGAATAGAAAGCAACCGTAAAAACGGTTTGGGAGTTGTTTCCGAAAAGCTGCCGAAGCTATCGGGGCTATGTATGCATACAAGGTCCCGTAGACTTGGCCCAAACCCAAACAAAAAGAAATGCACACAAGACTTATTTAGTGGAGGACCGCCGATTGGAAAGTACGCGAGAGGTCATCGGTGTGCACTACATGTTTTGAAAAAGGAAATAGGGTTGTAACGCATTTCGTTTGAAAGCAAAGTCATATAATCTAGTCTATTGGCTGGTAGCATGGTCGTGGTCTAAAGCACGCTGGTGGGTGTCCACTTTTTCATCATCATTGGGTAATCGCAGTGAGGGGCGAAGAGTAGTATTCCACTGAGGTGCTACAACATCTCTGAGCTTACTTCCGACCAGCAAGGTAGTGTGCCTGTTGATTGAAATAGAAAGGGAGGAGCCTGATAGTCAGTCTTCTCTTTGTTTGTGACTCGGAACAAATCGCGGTTGGGAAGCATCTTCTCGAGCCAAGGGGCCCGGGGCGAAGACAAAAGGCAAGCACAAACCTGAGTACCCGCGGATCAACTCTCAACCGATTTGTTAACTCTCTAACGGTTGGTGGGTTGGCATCAAATTGCATCGTCCAGTAACTGATGGAAGGTGGAAAGAGAAGGAGGAAGCGGTGGGACCGCAGGAATAATAATTGTATTTATCCATCAGCGACGAATTGTTCAACATCAACTCTTCACATTCGGTAACAAACAAGAAACAATTGGATCGAGAGCGAAGTGAAAAACGACGGGTTCGAGAGTTCGGAGAAATGCTCACTCGGCTTCTCCGACACCTCCGGGGACCAGGCCGGGTGCTCGGATGCGTTGAGGGGTGTTTCTTCGTCCCAGGTAGTCAATCTGGCGAACAAGCCCGCCATTTGATTCCACCAAAGTAGCTGCAGTGTGGACCAGCGACCTGAGGGGAGTGTAAGTAGAATAATGGAGAGCAAGACAACTGAGCGAATAGAGTGGCATAGTGGACGCAGGCTATGAGGTTGACCGAGTTTGCTTGTTGAGTCCTTGCTCCACAAGTGAGTCCTGGACTCCTGCCTCCTGGGCTGTGTGACCCGGGGTATTGACCCCATCCCGAAACACACACCCCGTGCCAAGTGGGGTTCGGGGCATAGCCCAGGGGACCAACCCCCTCACCAGGGGTTCAAAATTGATAAAATAACACCAAACAACCCCCGATTCTAATTTGGGATCTTATATATAACTTTATTGCAACTCTGCTCCACCAATAAAAACTCAGCCAAGATAAGCTATTTTTTCCAAAAAAAACAAAAAGATTGAGCTGTAGACTGTAGTTGAAGATGAGAGTTTAATGTTTGAAAATGCTGTTGATTGTGGTATTGATTGAGGTCAATTTTAGTTGGCAATGGTCAGCTACACTGGCTCAAATCATACATAATCCATGTACTATCAGAAGATTACTCCGTGCCGCCCTAAAATTCCGAAGTGGTCCAAACTTCCTACTCAAGGGGTTATAAATCTACACTGCTCTTACTTCATTGGTGTGATATAACAAATCCAAAATTGTAGGAGAGAACTTGAGCTGAAAGGAGATAGCCAGAGGTAGTGGTCTTACAGCAATTAATTTTGAGAAATCAATCCAGTGGAGAATTTGGGATAATTCCAGTCCTCTTACCAAAAATTCCAGAAACTGTGGTAGGGTTGGGATCGGATAAAGACTACCCTGATAGTAAGTGGGGAATGTTCATTGTAATTACTAAGTGTGAAATGGGGGACTTGTGAAACCTACACCCAGTACAGGTTTCACAAGAGGTTCACATACTATTACATAATCATAAATCCTACGGTACTTAGTTCCTTTCTCCCCATTCCCCTCCTAGCTCAGTAGAGACCCACTGACTTTCTTACTACTGAGCTAGGTGAGTGATTTCATTTCATATTTCTTTCTCATTATTATTCTTGTTGTTATTATTATTGTAGGAGAGACCCACTGACTTTCTTACTACTGAGCTAGAAATATAATCATACAGTGGTTCTAGAAACTGGTCTCCCAAAGCACTTGGCTTTGCTCTAGAACTCATCCGACGGACGGTGAAGGATTAAATAGAATCCTTACACTTTTTTTTTCTTGAACCTACTGTCCTAACCAACCTCAATACATGACCACTCGGTCAAAATCCGATATACTCCTCCCATTAACAGACCCAGAACAACTCTTAAAGGCGGCGAACGCTCGGAAACGACAGGAAAAAATCGCAGCGGCACTCAGAAACAACTCGATCGATTCGCTACTCGCACCGGAAGCCACCCTCGTCATGGCAGAACTACACCCCTCAACATCAAACAAGGAGGAACCGCCCGCCGATCAGACGACTACAGGAGGCGATAAGACACCCCCCATGTCGATGGCAGACTACCTCAAGGGGGTAATCCAACTGCAACACCACAGCATCGATCAAGCGAACCTCGATCGGGCGACAGCGGAGGCTAATCGACGTGCAGACGCGGACCGCATAGCCCGTCTCGAGGACGCGCTCATGCTCATGTCAGTTAAAATTGAACCTGAACATGCGACCCCGCCACCGACAAATGGCCGAGTCGATCTACAACGCTTCCGATCATCGGACGGACCCAGCTTCGTCGGGCCCTTCCAGAAGGTCGAGCCGTTTCTCTCGTGGCTCCGCGGCGTTCAAATTTTCTTCGCAACAAAAGGAGTCACCCATGACGATGACAAGATCCGCATCGTCGGCACCCTCATTCGTGAAACGAACACCCAAGCATTCTACGCAGCCGGAGTTGAGAAGTTCGTCGGACAAGGCTGGTCGAATTTCAAGGATAAACTAATCGTGTTTGCCCTCCCACCAATGTGGCGTACCAACCTCCGAGCTGAATTCAAAGGCCTCCGCATGTCCAATGCCGAGGACTTTCGCGGCTACAGTACTCGCTCTCGCACACTGCAGAGCATGTTGAATTTTGACAAAGAAGCAATCTCCGACTTTGATCTGGCAGAATCGATGACATTAGGAATGAAGGACGATTTACAAGCGGAGGTACATAACCACCAACTTCTTCTAGCCTCCCCTTTCGATTTCAGCATTTTTGACAGTCGAGCCAGCGGATTCTGGGATTGGATTGCCAAACGATCAACACCAAGACCTAGACCAAATCATCAACAAGCCACTCAGAATCAAGATCGACCCTCAGAACGATTATCAAGAGAGGAAACCCTATGGCGAGTTCACGCATTCCTCGATTCAACAGGGCGCTGTCATTACTGTAAGAAGAACTGCGGCAGTGCCGCTGGAGCTTGTCCGGGTCCCATCGATCGCAACCGCGTACCAATACCCGCAGCATTCACGGCTCCTCCCAAGCCGACCAACTACACACCTCCGACAGCCAAACTTGCTCCCAACCATACAGCAGGAAGACCAACACAACCCCCGGCAGGACGACCAGTAGGACGAGCAGCCACAGTAGCCGCAATCTCAGAGGAAGGCATTTGCCCCCCCTTGGATCAAGCGTCCATCTCGGCAATAACAGACATGGAAGAAGAGCTTCGTCTGGCTAGAGAGGAAACGTACGTACCCAAGACAGGACCACGGCGACTAATCGTCAATTTTACTATGGACGGGGTAAACTTACGAGGTTTGATTGACACAGGCTCGGAGCTGAATCTCATCACGGACGAGGCAGCTAAATTGACAGGCGCAAGGATTCAAGAGTTGTCAACACCAACGGTGGTCAGTTTAGCCTTAGATGACTCAACATCTGTCCCCATCATACTCAAGCATTTTGTGGTAGTGTCACTATCCAATCCCAATTCTACGCTCACCTTCAAGGATGTCAATCTCAAGGTTGGTCAGATCAAAGGGGACTACGAGATGATTTTAGGAATACAGTTTCTTTCTCAATTTTGTTTATCCGTCTCAATCTCCGATCATGCTCTGCAATGTGGACGATCTGGTTGTACTATAGTTGATTACCGCCATCCTACTGCAATACATCAACAGACTTCACCACCTTCTCCCAAAACTACCAACACAGACGCCTTGACTTATCCCTGTGAGGCTTCTGAAAAGAAGATCCTCCATGAGTTTGAAGACTTGTTCCCTGCAGACATTCCGGCTGTATCTGACGCCACAGTCCTCGATGACCATCCGACAGACGGCACATTCCCAAAGAAACTTCAACTGGAAAGCTCTAAGGTCCGACATAAAATTGTTTTGACTAACCCAGATGCAGTGGTGAACGAGAAATCTTATCCCTACCCACAAAAACATCTTGTGGCCTGGCGGACGCTCCTGGATCAACACCTGGAGGCAGGGAGGATCAGACGATCATCTAGCCAATATGCATCACCCAGCATGATAATACCAAAGAAAGATCCGTCAGCACTACCACGCTGGGTTTGCGACTACCGGACTCTGAATAGCTTAACAGTACGGGATCGATCCCCATTGCCGAACGTTGACGAGTTGGTCCGGACAGTGGCAGCTGGGAAGGTCTTCTCCATTCTAGATCAAACGAATGCGTTCTTCCAAACACGTATGCGGGAGGCCGACATTCCCCTAACAGCTGTGAAAACACCTTGGGGATTAATGGAGTGGTGTGTCATGCCTATGGGATTGACAAATGCGCCAGCAACACATCAAGCAAGATTGGAGGAAGCCTTAGGTGAACTCATAAATGACATCTGCGTAGTCTATCTTGATGACATTGTGATTTTTTCAGACTCCTTCCAAAGCCACGAGGAGCACGTTCGCAGGGTATTACACCGACTACGGGCAGCCAACTTGTACTGCAGCCCAAAGAAGACCAAATTGTTCCGCAGGCAAGTCAAATTTCTGGGTCACTGGATCTCAGAGGACGGAATCAGAGCGGACGATGACAAGGTAGCACACGTGCTGGACTGGCCAACGCCTAAGTCGGCAAAAGGAGTGAAGAAATTCCTCGGGACGGTCCAATGGATGAAGAAGTTCATCTGGGGACTACAGAAATATGTAGGCACGCTGACCCCTCTCACAAGCTCCAAACTAGATCCCAAGCAATTCCGATGGGGCGCTGCCGAGGAAACAGCTTTCAACAATATCAAGAAGATAATGACGTCACTACCCTGCCTCAAGAACATTGATTATGACTCAGACGACCCACTGTGGTTATTCACAGATGCCAGCGGATCAGGCTTAGGAGCAGCATTGTTCCAAGGTCAAGACTGGAAGAAGGCTTCACCCATAGCGTACGAATCACACCTCATGACGCCAGCAGAAAAGAATTATCCGGTTCACGAGCAAGAACTATTGGCGGTCATCCACGCGCTACAGAAATGGAAGATGTTACTCCTGGGAATGAAAGTTAATGTGATGTCAGACCATCATTCACTCACTTATCTACTCAAACAGCGGAATCTTAGCCGACGACAAGCACGATGGACGGAAATTCTGGCGGATTTTGATCTCCATTTCGAATATATCAAGGGTGAAGACAATACAGTGGCGGACGCCCTCTCACGAAAGGAAATAGACGAGGAGGATCCACCGATTGAAGCAGCAGACGTCGCTAGTGTGGCGGCACTGACGGAACTGGGGATAGGGCTTTCTGACTCGCTCAAATTCAAAGTACGGGAAGGATACAAGACTGATCCTTTCTGCTTAGCCATTCGAGAAGCCCTGCCCCTGAGGAAGGACTGTCTAGATGTTGACGGACTGTTGTTTATCGAGGGCAGACTAGTTATCCCAGCAACGGGGGAGCTCCGCCACAATTTGATGAACGAAGCTCACAACCGACTGGGCCATTTGGGATATTTGAAGACAATCACAGAACTCCGACAGGATTTTTTCTGGCCACGAATGGCCAAACAAGTGGCAGAATTCGTAGATAGTTGCCCCACGTGTCAGAGAACAAAGGCCCCGACATCATCCCCAACTGGGAAGATGTTAACTCCCTCCTTTCCCCGGAAACCTCTTACTGACATAGCCATAGACTTTGTGGGACCTCTTCCCAAATCAACACACTACGACATGATCTTGACCTGCACTTGCCGATTATCAGGGTTTATTA